TTATTTTATTTTATTTTATTTTATTTTATTTTATTTTATTTTATTTTATTTTCTCTTTATTCACTGAACCAAAAATGATTTTTCCTCTTCAAGGTAAAATTTACTGCAGAGCAACACTTCTTTCTTTAAAAACAAACAAGCAAACAAAACAAACAAATCCAAAACTATTTTCCAGACTTTTTCAGCTCAGTCTCCAAAATGGATGAGACAGTTGGAATTTGATTTATAAATTTGTATCTAGAGAGGATTCAGTGTGGGTAGTGTGTTTCACCACAACTAAGTGAAGAGCTCTTGAAAATATGAATTTTTGAGTATGACAGTATGAATGGTTTCTGTTATTTTGTTTTATTTTTTAACCTAGTAGTATGATAGAATTTAATTTTTCATGACTTTATTGACCATCAGAAAAAGTGGCATACAAAACTCTTCTCTCTTCAACTAATCTGAATCTCTTCATGTCTTTAGAGAATTTACCCCTTCATAAGTTCCTTAGGTGTGAAAATAAGGAAAGGAGATAATCTGTCTTCTTCCGAGTTCCCATTTAAAATTGCATTATATGGGGGATTTGTAGGCACTGTAAAACTATCTTCATAGAGAAAATCACACAGTTGATAACACAGTTAAATTTATTCTGTCTGGCTGTAAAAAGAGGGGATTTTGTACATCACAGTCTTCTTACTGTGTTGTTATTGAATTATTCTGAGTATTCAGTAAGTACAAGTGCTTATTGCAAACTGACTTATCTTTGAATCTTATCCAGATATAGCAGTTTATGCCTCTGCAACTGTATCCTGTCATTCCTATATCCTGTGTCTCATAGTATCCTACAACTCTAACTCTTGTATTTGAAGCTGAATGGGAAAAACCTTTCAATCCACAATACACTAAAAAGGAAAAATTCTTTGTGGATGGGAACAAGGCTGTTGAAGTCCCAATGATGTTTGGAATTGGCGCGTTCAAACATGGCTACGATGAACAACTGTCTTCCACTGTGGTGCAAATGGATTACAAAGGAGGTGCTTCAGCATTTTTTGTTCTGCCTGATCAAGGAAGAATGAGGAAGCTGGAAAAAAAACTGTCTTGTGAACGTATGGCAAGATGGAGAACATTAGTCTCAAAAAGGTAAAATTCTACGGTTCTTGGTTCAGATGGTAAGAAAGGAGATACATTTTAATCTGCTGAGTTCTGATAAAGAATCGGGATACTATTTTAAATTCTATTTTAATCTATTCAAAAATTTCCTCTGACCAAATCTGAAATTTGACTTTCTGATACTCCTGTGTTTTCACATTCATACTGCATGAACTGAAAGCTTTCACTGCTACAGGATTTTTGCTACTCTCACATTCTGTTTCCTGAGGTCAACTTCTGTAGGTCCCAGTTTTCTGCCTTAATACTTCTAATCGTTTGTTTGTTTGTTTTGTTTTGTTTTGTTTTCTTCTTTTTTTTTTTTTTTTTTTTTTTTTTTTCTGTTTCTCTCTTCTATTTACATCTAAATTCGTATTGCTTTCCTTAAGACTTTTTTATTTTTCTTGGCTCTTCCTTTCTCTTCGTAGTTTTATCAGTAATTACACATTTAATGTTGAAATAGCAATGTTCATGTGACAATTGTGAGGACAAAGTTCAGTGACAAGTGTATAGATCATCTAATATGTTGCAGAGCCATTGAATTCAGGCTCTCTGAAGACTTAGAAGAAAGGCAATATTATATTAAGGCACTCTTGCTTCAAGGTTACATTGAGACTAAAAGACAAAGTTCATTTGCTTTAAAACAGCACATCTTAGACTTCTGTATCCATTAGTGTTATACATAGTAGTAGTCTTTGATGGGGAAAAATATGTGCACAAGCATGGGCAAAACATGTTTGCAGGATGAAGCCCTTGTATTCTTCAAATTTATGAATACATCACATAAGAGATCTTCACACATCCACGTTTGAACACTGTTTCGAATTATGAGTTTTCAAGACAAAAGAGAACCTTAATATTTAAAACAGTTTCACGCTTTTTTACTCTAATTCACTGTCAAAACTTTTCAGGAAAAAAAAATCAAACATTTTTCCTTTAAAAAATTGTCAGAAATAAAATGCATATTTTTCAGTGCAGCTTTACAATTTTTAAACTTCTGGGAACAGTTATGTGATTGGTCATTTTCACTATAGCACAAATCAGAAACTGAATCAAGTTACTTTATGAAGCATTTTTGCCAAAGAAGTGCAAGTTACCTTTAAAATCACTATGAGAGATACTAAATAGAACACACATTTTTTGTTTCATTTCCCTTCTTCCCCCACATGAAATAACTTACTTTAAAGCTGTGAATGGGAGATATAGCACTTTTAATATTATAAATGCATCCCTATCATGAGCTTGTTCTACACAACTCTCCATCTTTCCTCATGCTAACTCTCTCTTGCAAACCAATAACTTCAACTCCTCCCCTTTTTGCCTGTAGTTCTCAGTGTAACTGCTGTCATTTAGAGCTTCTGGGATGCATCAATAAATGTCTTTGTTATGAGATATGGAATGATGTAAGAGTTTGGGAAAAGCTATTTTTGTCTCTGTTTTTATATCTGCAAGCTGATACTGACCCAATTTGTAGTACTGTTCATTAGTGTTGGCTGCAGAATGGGAGATAGTGCCAAAGTATAGATGCAGCTGACTACAGACATCTGAGATCAATCTAATGGTTGAACTGTGGAGAAAACATTCTTGCCTCTTCTGGAAAACGTATCCCAGTGCTTCTTGCCCAGTCACATTGTTGCTATATGCTTTCCCTTTCCTGAGTGTTGAAAACAAGTAGGGGCTTGTGAATGAGCGTCTGTATGTAATAGAAAAATGATGCAATTATAGTTGCCTCTCCTTTGAGTCAGTAATCAGTACCATTAGAAATTAAGTAGGAGATCAGAAAGCCGTTTTCAATCCACTAGGACTCTCATTTTTGATTACCAACCAGACTTTGCATTCAATCTGTGGAATGTGCTATGGTGAAAGCACAAGCCTTTCCCTTTCCACTTGTCCATTGCATGGCTCGTGTTTTGGCTAGTTTCACTAAGTGCTCCACACTTCCTTGCCCTATAGTCCTGAACCTGGTTTATGACCAGAAAACTGTACTGACAAATCAGCATCATCAGAATGACCTCTGACTGAACATGCTGCTTGAAAGAACAAGGAAGAAATGGGATGGAATGGAATGGAGCTGTAATTAATTTATTGAAAGATTAAAGTAGTCACTTAAAAAAAAAAAAAAAAAAAAAAAAAAAAAAAAAAAGAATAAATAAAGTAGAATAAAAATGAATAAATTGGGCATCAGATGACATACAATTATCTTTCTGAGTAAGTACTTGATGTCTGTGTACTTTTTTGTTACTTTGTCAGCTACACATTGCCCTGCAACCTCAGTATATCTTGTTATCTTTTTTTATTCTTAATTTCTATGATAAACTTAGTGGCACAGCATTTTTTTTTTAAAAATAGCAATATTTCAGACACCTGAAAGAATCTTTTTCATAAGGCATATCCTCTGTATCCTCAGTGATGGAGTGTGTGTGAGATCTTTCCTGAAGTATGCAATATATGGTTAACTTTTGACAAATGAAAAGCTTAGGAGGCTCGTCTTTACTACAGTATTAGCTCATTGCAGACTAGAGACCCTACCTTCTGAACCATCATTGCTGCTTGTTATAAACATTCTTTCCTTCTCTCTGATCTAATGCCACTACATCTCTCTTATTCCCTTGATGAATAAGTTCATCAAGGCCAAGTGCAAGGTCCCACACCTGGACTGGGGCCATTGCAAGCATGAATAAAGGCTGAGAGATGAGTGGATTGAGAGCAGCCCCAAGGAGAATATAGCAGTACAGGGTGCTGAGAAGCTCAGCATGAGCCAGCAGTGTGTGCTTGCAGCCCAGAGAAGGACAACCACATCCTGGGCTGCATCAAAAGGGGGATGGCAGCAGGAAGAGTGAGGCAATTGTATGTCTGTACTTCAGTCTTGTCAGCCTCCACCTGCAGTGGACTACTGTACTCAGCTCTGGTTCTGAAGCGTAAGAAGGACAAGGACCTGTTGGAGAGGGTCCAGAGGAGGGACACACATTTGTTCAGAGGTCTGGAGCACCTCTTGTGATGACGGAATGAGAATGCTGGGCTTGTTTAGCTTGCAGAAGAGAAGGCTCTAGGGAGACCTCATTACAGCCTTCCAGTACCTGCAGATGGCCTAAAGGAGAGCTGGAGATGGACTCTTAATCAGAGAGAGCAGTGGTAGGAGAGTGGTTAATGGTTTTAAATTAAAAGAGGCAGATTTAGATATTAAGAGGAAATTCTTCACTGAGGGAGATGAGGCACTGGCACAGGCTGCCCAGAAAAGCTGTGGGTTCCCAATAGCTGGAAGCATCTAAGGCCGGATTGGACTGGGCTTTGGGCAACTTGATGTGATGGGAGGTGTCCCTGCAGATGGCAGAAGAGTTGGAATTAAAATCATTCCATGATTCCATGATCCCCCATGTAGAGTAACCCTGCCAACAAAATATCTTCAGAGAGAAGCAAAATTACTCTGCCTTCTACTGTGATATCATGCCTGAAAGTTTAATTTTATTCTTGCGCTTCTTTTCCAGCAACTCAGTAAATTTGTATCTTCCAAAATTCACTCTTCTTGGGAGATACAACCTAAAAAATATTTTATACAAAATGGGCATAATGGATCTATTCACTGATAAGGCTGACCTATCTGGTGTCACCGGACAACCCCAGCACAGAATTTCCCAGGTAAGTGATATTGTTTTTTCTTTTCTGTTCCTATGGTTATTGATGTTCACATTACAGTGTTTTTGAATATTCATGGTGTAATACTAACATGAGGAAGATTCATTTTACCTGAAAAGGCAGCAGTCGACACACAGAGTATTTCACCCATATTACTTGGGCTGTCAGCAGAATTGTATTGGAGTAGGTTCCAAGTTTCAAATCTGGGAGGCACTTTTCATCAATATGGGGACACATTATAAAACAGACATTACAAAATCATTGTCTCTCCACACTTAAGTGTCCTTTTGCACTCTATTGTTGCAGTCATTACTTTGCTGCTTCTATGTATGTCTACCTTCTTAGTGTCAGGCCCAGGCAAAATCTATGGATAAGTCATGCGTCAAGATACATAAAAGTCGATGATCAGGGCTACCCTGCAGTGCAAATTCATTGCCAAATATAAGCAAAACAACTAGGTGGAATTGCAGGTGAAAGTTAGTGAATTAGAGTCTCTGAACCTCTCAATTTTGCTACTATACTAGAACTTGCACGTTTCTCTGCTCTGTCCTTCTATTTATAGAACTCCTTGTTTGGCCCTAATTGTCACAAGATTTTAAGGAAGATGAAAAAAAAATAATGTCAGGATGCTACTTGTTGTGCTTATCTGTATGTTAGTTCTTCAACTGTACAAACTTGTCAAAAAATTCAATGTGATTTTGCTCTCTTTTCAAATTTACGCTAGCTTTGTAGATTTGCACAAGTGGCAACATGAAATACAAAAACTAAACAAAATTTTAAAAATGGAAAAATACTGTTTTTGTGAGCAGGAATATGCCTCTTCAACAGATATGCGTTCTCTAAGATGAAGAAAGCCACAGTTCATGTAGTCTGTTGATTTTTCTTCCCTGAGACTGCTCTTTTTGTGCATTAGACTGATAATTTCTTATTAATAACTTCTTCAGACACTTCTGGCTCAGTTCCTCTTAAGATAACTGGTTTTGTACCATTTTGACTTGTAACATATCTGTTTGTTCACAGGCTATTCATCAGGCTGTGGTAAAGGTGGATGAGACTGGCACTGAAGCAGCAGCTGCCACAGGCATGGAAATAGTGCCTATGTCCGTTCCAGTTGTCATTAAAATGAACAGACCCTTCTTATTGGTCATAACTTTAAGGGACAACATACTGTTCATGGGAAAAATTGTGAATCCTCTGGAAAAAGAATAAGCTAATATACACAATAGGTATGCAGTTATCACCACCATTAAATCCAGTGTTTCACCTGATGCACATGGCATGGCTACAGAGGGCTCTCCACCCCTTAAACTGTATTATTCACTCCTTTTTTTTTTTTTTTTGTAGATGTGACACTTCATCAATTTAAATTGTCATAGTTGCATATTTGTTTGGACTTTTTTTTGTTAAAGACAAAGGTTGCATCCAGGCAAAATTATCATTAAATCTGGAACAGAATAGGCCCGTGTGACAGTGACAGCACAGATGAATTTTCAAACAGGGAAGATGAGGAGCATGTGGGTGGAGAGAATTGTGCAACCCTGCTTCTTCCCTCATAATCGTGGCTGCCTTCTCACTTTTTTTTTTTTTTTTTTTTTTTGGCATTGATTGACAAATGGGTGTAAGTTGTGGCACTTGGCTACTTGTGCCCATTTTCCTACCAAGTCTAGGATAGCTATTAACGTCCATAGTGCTTACTACCTTGAACAGTGCCTTTTTCCAGTGACTCTGTTACTTCCTTGCATCTTGGCTGTTGTGGTAGCTTGGCTGCTACAAAGAGATTACAAGAAAGACATGTCTTTCCCTTGCATATGTCTGTCCACTGTTTCTGTAAGGCTTCCCAAGTCATACTCGTTCCAGGGTAAATATGTCAGAATTGGGTCTAAGAAAGGAGGATGTAGATTAGATCTCTGCAGTTCAACTCCCTGGAGCAAACATTTGTGAACCAGATATATGGCCTACAGCAGCCACAGAATTTCTTGCAGCCCCTGCCCGAACCAAAATCAGCTTCTAGAGGAAACACTAGCCATCTCCACAAGGTGCCAGTGCCCATTGAGATACCAACTGGCCCTGTGAGATCACCCATGGTAGTAAGCACCACTGCAGTATTGTTTGTAGGATAGAGCACCCTACTGGTAGCACCTTATACCCCATTGGTGACTTATACCATGTCTTCTGACATGAACCCTTCTGTTCCCAGACTATCCAGTAACATGATATTGGTACTCCATTTCTCATCTGCTTCATGGTTAGTATAGCAGCAATATTATAGGTTATGTTTTCTCTATTAGGATATACAGTACCGAAAGTCACATTCATAATGTACATGCTTATTTATTTTTCCTTTTCTGTCTACTTTTACTTCTTCTTTCAGAACATCTATCAGTGTTTTATTTCTATGCCCATGTTCATGATATATATCTGATTTCTGGTTGCAGGAGGGGTAAATTATTGACTAAAATGGGTTTGTGTGTTAATGGGTGTTAAGCATTAACAACAGTCTTTGTACTGTCTTGAACTACACAGAAAAATGTACTACAATAGAAGAAAAACAGTGAATAAATATGACATTAGAAGTCTCTAATTTTGCTATTTTTTTCTGTAATTCTGAGCTAAAAATTACGAAGAATGGTTAAAGCAGGATATTGACCAATATTTCTTATTGACAGTTGTCCATATAGTGCTCCATGGTAACACCAGCAATGATCTTAAGAAAGCTCACTCTCTTTGATCTGAGCCGAAAATCCATGTTCAGTGCATAGCACTATTCAGTGCATAACCTCCCTATTAGGAGGAGAAATTGTTGAGAGAGTTGGACATTCCTTTGATGAAGCAGTATTTATTTGAAAGGCAATGTACAATGGTGCTTTTTCTATTTTACCAAACGTTTAGCTTCATATGTGCCTTTCATCATCTCTATTCAAGGAAAAGGTCTTTCTCAGCTCCCTTTGAGAGCTATGTTATGACATTTGGTGTGTGTACTGAGCTGCGGATCTTGTTTTTTCAGGTACCTTATTCCATAAACAAAATATGTTGCTCTTAGCTTCTGTACTGTGTTGATATCATCAACAACATAGATCACAATATTTTAAAAAACATACATACTTCTAAAGACTATTAAAGAAAAAATGAGATAATTTCTTTAGGATCTATCAGCATATTGTAGAGGAAACCATTTCTTAATAAAATCACAATGATATAGCAGGGAAGAAAAACTCACCTGTGTGGTATTCAAATTGGACAATAAAAAAAATAAAAATTAAACTCACAGGCTCCCAAAATAAAGTTAGATATACTCAGTTTATTGTCATTTGTCTCTGATCACATCACTGGATCTATAGATAATCTTAACAGAGGGCATTTTTCTACAAGATCTTAGAGAACTTTTAATTCTGTATTTATCTGCGCACACTGCAGATAATTCCAGGTCACAGTATTAAGAAATAATCAAATATTGCAGCTTGCTTTCCTTAAAAATGTGTAGCAGTAATAGATGTACACCCCCCAAAAAAACACCAAAACCAAAAACCACCACCAACAACAAGAAATCAAACCAAACAGACAAAAAAGGCCAACTTCAAAAAGAATGGTAAAAAGAAAAAAAAAAAAAAAAAAAAAAAAGAATGTATATTCACATGTTAATGAGAATTATGAAGAAAAATTTCAGAAAGTGGAAGTTGTGATCAAACTGGGGAGGTTGAACGGGGGAGTGGGACACCAAAACGCAAAATAGAAAACTGGAATAAGTAGGAAAAAAAACAGCTCTGGGAGAGAAAAAACAATTACAGATGTCCTAGCTGCTAAATAATATATTATTTTCCATAAGCATCAGAAAACTGCCAGAGAGCCTGAGGGGCCAATTTGTTTTCAAATGTACAAAGGAGTGTTCAAGGAGATAATACCAGAGTAGAAAAGTTCAATCCATTGCAGATGTACTTCCTTTGCAGTGGTTGAGCCTTAGGAACAATTTCAAGTTGAATTAACAGTAGAAGAGATTTTAGGGGGACAGGGAGAGGGGAATGAGAAAGTAACAACAAAGTGCTAAGTATTTATGCAAGAGCTCTTATCTGTCTTAAGAAAAATATTAAATCTTTCACTGTTATGCACCACTTAGATTGGTCTCTATATCAGAGTGACAAAAAGTTACAAATGTAACATTAAAAATAAAAAAAGTTTGCATGTAAACATGCAATGAAATGAAGATCACTTAGCCCAGTTTTTGAATTTTGGAAACTAGAATTTGTCGTCGTATGAATACATATGATAAAACATTCAAGAATTAATATGGCTTTGCTGAAGAATTCTTTGAAACTGTTGATATGTGTGTGGATTGCGAATTGATTGATATACTGCAGGAATTCTTCATAAGGATCTTTAAAAATATATAATCTAGGAGCACAGGGAAGATCCTTCTATGACTTTATAAGCAATAAGTTCAGGAAATCTTTCGGAGAATTCAGAGATCATTTCAGAATGGAATGAATTTCGAGGTGATATATTTTGCTGATGGTTCCACATTGTTCATAGTCTTAAAAAAACTGTATATAAGGATGTCATTGTACTGAATGACTGGATGATAAAAAGGCATTTTATTGATAAATGATAGAAAAGTTTTTAATTTGGTAGCATCTGATAAAAACAGTATAGAACATTTTCATCATTTCAATTTGAAATTGCCATCAGAGCAAAAGCATTCCTGAAAATGTTCTAACTTCTTTGAGCCTGTTTCCTTAAATGGAAATAACATCCTCAGACAAATTCCAAGAAGTTTTTCCAAGAAAATTATGCTAAGGGAACTGTAATGGGCAGTAAGGAATGCAGGCACACTGAAGAACCTGTCTACTTGCATGAAAGTCTCGAAAGTCTCTCAGATGCAGAAAGAAATGAAGTTTGTGATGAACTTCGTACTAAAGGAGTAATTTTCAGACCACGGATTTGTAGCTCAGCTATGAGCTTACTGTCATCAAAAAAGCAGAGAACAGGATTCGCATCTCAAAGATTTGATGGACTTGGTTTTTATAGTAAACTATGAAGAGAAGTGTAAAATATTTTCCTCCTTTGGAAATGATGCATCTTCTTAGGCTTATCCTGGTTTGTTGGATTCAGTTTCTGGTGAAGAGATTCTAGTTGTTGTGCTTCAAATTTTACCTCAGAAGGAATCTTACTAGTTCAGAGGTCTCCAAAGAGCAAGGGATGCTAATTGTCATCTGTGCTGTAATATTTGGGTGTTGGGTTTGAAGTTATAGTAATTAAGAGTGTGGAGGCGAATTAGAAAAACAAATCTGTTTGTTAAGAGATCTGTTCAATCATCATTAGTAGGAAAGCTGGAGTATTCACAAAGGTTGGATACCAGTTCAAACAGGTTTCTATAATCCCCACCCACCTAAACTCAAGCAAAGGCATTAATTTAATAACATTGCATCATCCAGGAAAAAAAAAAACAACACAACAACACAAAACAAAACAATGCACACACACTCTCACTGCCTGATCAATGAACTTGAGAGCAGGGCACTGTCACCTAGTTCTTATGACCTGATTATCCTTTTCTGATCTTTACATCTGGGCCCTGTCTCACTGACCCCAACCCTAGGACAGCTGTAATGCTCCACTGCTCTGTGGAAAACATACCTGGCTATTCAATGAATATCAGTCCAGGCTTTCCCTCATCATTAAAAGTTTGCTTTTGATGAAGGATCTTGTGATTTTTTAGGGAATGCTTTCTCCACGATTCTTCAAAGGGCTCTGCTGGCCAACTCTCTCCAAGAGGATGAAGGAATGGAGAAGAGAGGCTTGGTGCTACAAGGAAATGAGAGTTGTCTGCTGATGAGAGTGACTGTTGTTGAAAAAGAATGTTAGAACTGATAAGAATACGTAGGATGCAACACTAGATAGGTCAACATTTTTTTTAGAGAAATTCAGGTCCAGTATCAAATAGTCACAATTCAAAGTTTTCTGTTAAAATTAACTAACTTGAGATAGTTTTATAATGCATAATTCTGTGGAACAATGGCTCTTTATGGATTCAACTAGTGCTTTTATAAGTCACATGATGTTGGCCTAAATCTTCCTGCACAGCTAGAAGTTGTAGTCAGAAGAAAGCTGACTTTACACTATATTCAAGACAAAACTGAAAGCTGAGACCTTTCTGTGTTTTCTACTTGGTGGATTCTTTTTTTTTGTACCTGCATCTCCAATTAAGATCTTCTGTA